GGCTGAGCAGAGCACCTGAGCCTTGGTGCCAATCCCCGCGCTGAATAGCTTGCATGTTGCGTTCCTCGCAAAGGCGCCTCCAATGCTCCTTAATACGTTGAATTGGGAACCTATCGGCAGGTTGCACTAAGTCTGTAGCGTTTGGAGGAAAAAAACGTACACGCGTACGGAGTTCGCGCGCAACTTTGATAACGTCATCAGACTAGGGTTGATGAGATTGTCATCAAAAAGACGCTTCAATTCGCCTAGGTGGGTAGCGACACTGATGTGAATTTCTCGCTGCTTTTCGGCACTGACTTGTTTCTTGCCTTTCAAACGACGATAGACAATATTGAACCGGTCCGTAAAGCGTTGAATGCGTCGTGGATAAGTAAACTAGAAAACATCTTGTCATTAAATCGAAACCTATTGTTGTACTTTGCATGCTGGCTCTCCTCAATCATCGTGACGGCAAATGTCTTGAAGCAGGCGTGTAGACATCTTGACACCAGCCTTTCGTAGACGCTCAAATTCAGTCAGGTGGATTGGATACAGCCACAACCAGTGCTCGCCTAGCTTAGGACCTCGAACTTGCTCTGCCTTGACTATAAGCTGGTGCCTGTTTCCTGCCCCACTGCCTGCATATCTACGAGCCGTGACGTCGGGGTCCTCGCGGTTGTTCTTCGCCGTTCTCTTTCTCCATCAGTCCCTTGCCTTATTGAGATTCACACGACGGTCGTTCGAACGTAAATCGACGGAAACTCGTCAACCGCCTTACCGGCAAGCCTCTTCTCTCCGTTCTCTGCAGCGTACAAAGCCATCCATTCGACGACCTTCACTCTATCGCGGATTCCGACGACATGCTGCAGCGCACGCTTCACTCCGTCGTCCATAACGTCTGCGCTGTGCTGGAATGAATTTGACGGGCTTTGTGAGGTGCCTTAACGCGCTAACAACAGATGGAGACAACGACTGGTTGGTGTGCACTAGGGTTGGCAATTCACGACTATTAACAGGTATATTAGCGATTATAATCGTTTACATTCCCAAGTTAACATTAATATTAAGTGTGAATATCGAATGTTCAATTTCTGGCGTATGGTGATGCTGCCAGTAGGTTGAAGTCCCGCGAGATCGCTCTGCTCGAGCAAAGATCTCGCGTGAGACTCACAACACAACTAGCGCCCCCACCCCGACGTCTTTCCCTGCCGTGCAAGCTCCGTTCATCTCCACAAAAGCTCAGCCCGACGCTGCTGGATATAGCCCCTTCTGACGGTACACCAATTCTCGCGCGTGTGTGCGACGTTCAAGTCGCTTTCAAACATATTGACACAGTCTGATACAGGGTGTGAGCTTAATACGATCGCTCAACAGTATGGCACCGTCACAGCATGAGATATGGAGGCTTTACACCGTTGCAGTTGCCCGCGTCAAAGGAGCTAAGCCCCACCCGGACGCCAGCTGCAATGCATGTGGCGAGGTGCTGAAGTATGCGCAGCCTTCGCGTAACATGCTCACACACGTGTTGAAGTGTGACAAGGTCGACGCTGAGTCGAAACAGCGGTGGCTTCGGTATGACTCACAGCGTCGTCACGAAAAAACATCTAAGCTGCTGATTCCAGCAAGACGCTCAGCTAAAACTCCGTCGTCTATTAGTAACCGCTTATTCCATACACCCCAGAGTGGGTCTCCACGTACGGGCTCACGCAAGAGACCACGCAGTTCTTTAAACAAGTCGATCAAGCAGAGTGAGGAGGATAATTTCTTACGGGTTGCTATGGGGTTCATTGCTACCGGTATTCCTTTTCGAGTGATTGACGACCCTCATTTCCGTGCTATGTTTGATTACAAGCTTCCATCTCGCCGGCAGCTTTCAGGGCGTCTGTTGGATTTAATTTATAAGCGTGAGATGGACCGGATAATTGCTTTGATGAGTGGAGTTTCTGGGTGGACGCTCGTGACGGATGGCTGGTCCAACGTTAATGGTGACAGTATCATTAATTTTGTTTTTGTGAATCCTAAATTTCCTCCTGTCTTTTGGAAATCAATTAATACGAGAGCTGAGGTACACACCGGGCGTTATATTGCAGACACTATTCTATCCACTATCATCGAGCTTGAAGAAGCGGTCGGAGCTGGGGCAGTTACCGCCGTCGTTACCGACAACGCCGCGAATATGAAAAAGGCTTGGAAGCTTGTCCGGATGGAGCGCGAAGGTATGGTGTGCACTGGGTGTGCAGCGCATGGAATGAATCTGCTGATAAAAGACATCTTTAAAATGAAGTTTTTTAAAGACGTCCTCGACAAGGCACAAGCCCTAGCTCGTTTCATCAGGGGTCGGCGTGGCCTGTGGTCGCGTTTTCGGGATACTCAAAAACAACTTAAGAAGCGAGGAGAAAAACGCCGTCGTCTCTCGCTGACGGTGGCAACACGCTGGTACACCCATGAGAAATGTATCGCCAACGTGGTTCAAAATCGAGATGTCATTGCTGCTATTTTTCCGACACAGCCTTTCTAAGGAACTACAAGGGCTCAGACCTGGAAGAAGCGACGAAGACCTTCAAGGACGAGGAGTTCTGGCAAGACGCTGCTGTTACAGTCGCTATAATCCGGCCTATCAACACGAGCCTTGCTGCCTTTGAGCGTGATGATTGCAGTATTTCGCTTGTTTACCACCAATTCAGTTGGCTGCGTACTCACGATGTCTACACAAAATCCTTGGATGGATGTAGTACGGAACTTCAGCTGCAGGTGCTTCGCGCAATCGAGGACAGAAAAAAAGAAAATTTGCTGGAAGCCACTGGGGATTGCCCATATGCTGGACCAAACAAAATCGATGGATGGGCACGACTCAAAAAAACTGATAACTGATGCTACTGAACTTGCCAGGAAACTAGAGCTTGTCGATCGATCTCAAGAGGATACGTTCCACAATGAGCTGCAAGAATTCGTTCTGGAAAAATGTAGCTGGAAAGGGACGGAGCGCTTAGACAACAATCGGTTCAGCCCATTGAACTGGTGGTCACTTCCTGATACCGAATACCGTCTGGTGCAGTCGTTTGCGAAGCTACTTTTATCAATACCGACATCGTCAGCTTCTAGTGAGCGTAGCTGGAGCATCCACGGATTTATTCACACTAAACTGCGCAATCGCCTTACTCCTGAGCGGGTTAGCAGACTCGTTTTCGTGTACACCAATATCGCTCGGAAAACTGAAGTGAACCATATCATGTACCAGCTCTTTCCTGAAGCTTGTGACGGTAGTGACTCCAGCGATAGCAGCGACGATAGCGAAGATGATAGTGGGGAGCTCACAAACGACTCATTACCCACAACAAGGCATGGATCACCAACAGCAGTACTTCAAGAGGTAAGTCTTAATGATAGATTCACCACTCCAGTTTTCAATGGACGAGAGCAACCGATATGCCAGACAAGATAGATTGAGCTGCAAAACAAATAATATATATAATTCCCTTCTCAAAACACTACCGCACACACACAAGATGATAGTCAACACCGTTGCATCCACAAACACACTCGAGACGAGCCGGTATTGGCGCTCGCCGGGCCCGGTGCACCATTTCAATGCAGAAAGCTGACCGATCATAGTTCGCCACTCAGAAAATTAAATTCAGTCATGAAAGGGAGTCTCAATGACTGCACTGTCAGCTCTTCTCACTGGGTGTATGCAACTTTGAGCACGAGGCAGTCTTCTTTTCATCAATTTTCCCTTCTTCATGACCACGACTTCATTTCCAGATCAGCGTTTAGCGCAAAATCATCTGTAAGCTGCAAAATTGTGGCTCCAGTGCATTGCCTTCCTAGCGTTTCCAAGTTATTGATCATTTTGCAATTTGAAATGCTAGACTATCACAATAGAAGCAATAGAGTTAGCAAGACTCACGCACAGCTATGTCGACAAATATTGTAGTGCTACTGATCGCGATATCTTTAGGGTTTCATACCGCTAACTGATGTTTCGGCTGCACTTGACCGCAATACCTAATCCTCTTCCCGGCTCGGATCTTCCAACCATCTCAGGTAGCGGTGCTTGCATTGCACCAAACATTCACAGATTTTTCCGTGAAAGAACCAATCCAAAATTGTGCCTGGCCACCTCCGTAAAGACTCCATCATCCCATAGAAATTATCTCGGAATGGCAGTAGCTAGCGTCGTGACCGATGTGCGTACTCTTGGCTTCTTGCTCTTGCGTTATGAGCTCCGTCAACTAATTTTCCTCATAATTACTGGTACCTCACGATAATAACTGCTCGAGTGCCGCAGACACATCTAATTTCTAAGAAACAATAACACATAGTCACCTGCGTTTCCTCGAAGAATACGTTGTAGCCTCTCAGGCTGTCCACTCGAACGATCGCCTTCCTCGAAGCCTTGGGAGCGCATTATTTGACAGTCTGTACCGCAAAACATGCAGCAGCAGGCGTTGAGCTTGATCTCTACGGTGAACACGAGAAGTAGTCGAAGACAATGCCCCGGTCTACTGCGGTGCAAGAGTACGCCGTAGTTGAGGGAGCAGAGTGCATTGTGGTCGCACTACAGCCGCTGTCTTCGGCAAACAGATCCAGGTAGCTACCGCATAGCTTCGGATTTGTAGCGCTCTCCGACTAGTGCATACCCATGCTCAATTCTCCTTGCCATAACCGCTTCGCTATGCGAGTGGAAGTCGGTTGTACAGTAGCCCGATTGTTTGTTTGAATTGTCACTGTGAAAATTAGTTATTCATTGTTATTTAACGATTAATAACCCATTCAGCTAATTTAGCTGATATTAACGGTGAATATCAATTGCCAACACTAGTGTGCACGTCTATTTGAGGTGCGCGGCAAAATACGGTACTAGTACCATACTACTTCCTTTAAGTACGATATACGACTAATTGGGAAGTAGCGTGAAGGGTGTAGTGTATTACTTCAGAAAAAAATGAATTGAAGATGCTGAAGTAAGACTAATCACTTGCTCAGCTACCTGACCGTCATCGCGTCAAAATCGGCCTTGCTCAGTTTCCCGGCTTTTGACTCTGGTAGAACGCCGTAAACTTGGCCATAATCTTCTCCTCAACGGGATTCGAGGCAGTTTCCGTCTTGTATATCATCTTCCAAAAGTTTTCCGGCGTGACACCTTCACCAATCCACGTGGCAAATTGTTTCTTCTGCAGCGTGGCAGCTTCTGCCCCCTCCAGAATCTTGGCAAGCATCTTGTTACCACCAACCTGCGTAGACATCGCCTTTATGAAAACTTGACGTACTTCCTTCACCTCAGCGAGCTGTTCCAGCACGTCAATCTTCTGGTTGACAATCGATGTGGGCTGGTTAATATCAATGTTTAGGGCCCTGAGCATACTACCAAGTGACTGGTTGTCCTTCTGAACCCCACGCTCCACCAGCAGTTTCTTCGCGGCCACATTCGTGGTCGAGTCGTCCATGGCAGAAAGCAACTTCCTCATCACAGGAGCGTCTCCAAAAGCCTGCGTGTAGAGCTTAAGCACAGGCTTTTTCTGGCCGGGATTTTTAGCGTTGAAGTCGTCGACGTACTTCATGAACCTGTTCAGGTTGCTTGCAGTAAACGCGTCATCGACGTCTCCAGAGAGTCGAAGCCATTGAAAAACGTTAGCCGGCAACTGTTCACCTCGCGTCCACCTCTCGATAAGAATATTCTCCAGTTTAGTGGCCTTGTTTTTCGTCGCAGCGGAGTTGGTCCTAGCGCCGTACAAGACACCGCCCAAGTTATCCTCACCTCCCACACTTTTGATCAAGGTGGTAAGCAGGGTATCGTCGGACTGTTTGACGAGCTTGGCGTATTCGTCAAGAACCTGGAATTTCTGGCCGAGTCCCCTGTTGTAGCGAAAGTTCAGAAGCTTGGAAACGCTACCAAGGGACTTTCCGCTGTCCTTCCATTTCATCAGCTGCTCAGTTTGCAGTTTTTGGATCTGCTGAGCGACTGACGGGGAGTCCGCACTTCTCTTAGCGGTCACGAGCGCCGCCGCCACAGCATCATCTCCGTACTTGGTCGTGAGTGTGCCAAGCAGCGACACCTTTACCAAACGATTCTTGTCGTTAATTTCTTTGAGTTTTGTGATCAAATTGTTGATGTTCGAGCTTGCCAACGTGTCGTCGATTTCACCGAATCGCATGGCTCTCGCCGCTTTCATCTCACGCGCCTTTAAGTTGACCGCTTTATCGACAAGACTCGAGGTGCGGCTCTTTAACTTGGCCGCAAGATCTGAGATCGCGGTGCCCCCGATGCCTCTCTCTTCGTCGTCCTCCTCCATACGTCTCAACAACCGAGGAGTCACATCGTTCTGGCGGCCGGTGATGGAATGAGTAAGAGTCGGGTAGTCGGCGGTGGTGAGCTCCGAGGGGGTGGCCCGGTCCACCTTTGCGAGAAGAGCAACGGCAACGAGGAAGGCGATTGAGTAGAGACGCATCGCAGATGATACTTGCTCACTTTGTGCTCGGCTGGCTTTTGTTAAGTGACGACATTCATTTGTTGGTGAAACTTACTTACAGTGTAAGGGTGGCGGTATCAAATCTCGATCAAATCGTACCGTACATGTAGCTTACAGGGCCTTTCTTCCGTACGCAAGGCTGTTAATATGATACCGCTCAGTGGTCCACTGGTTTCTCTGCTGTCATCGACAGACACTGGCTATACCACCCCGCCGATCAGAATGCGTGAGAAAAAAACATGAGGTGTTATTTCGAGATGTGAATTCGATCTGAGGGCCTCATTACTTATAAAACATGTAAATGGAAGTGAAAACGTGTACATCAATTGAAGCGTACTATAATATTATGCGGTATCGTATAAATTTCTTCTCCCGGATATCCTGACAAATCTTCCAGCTAAGCATGATATAGGATTGCCAACACTTATAGACACCGATGCAGATGTACTTTTAAGTAAAAAGTGGAATTACTACTGTACATTTTCATCAAATGTTAGTAATTGCAGCCTGGCGGGTTCATCTCGTCATTACATGGGTATGATTTGTGCAATTATGCTAATACTTATGTATATGATGTTAGTTTAAAAGGTGTGGAGTTTAAATGTCATTAAGCACCTTGCTGTCGTGAAGGGACAATTAAACACCTTGCTCTATAGTACGGAAGGTCGTGAAGGGACAAGAATACAAAGACTAAAAAGGCAAACTTATTGGACTGTGATGGGTCAGCTAAACCAAACCCAAATTCGCTTGTCAGAAGCTAGACCATTGTATTTTACAACCTTCAAACTGACCCATATCAATTAAACACATAGTATAATTCGAAAGACTGACCTCGAGCTTGCATTACTAGATCGTCTTCGACTAGGCTGGGAACACATCTACCAGTTTGTCTCTTGAACTTCTTGAGCAATTAGCCAACTAAGCGGCTAAGCGGGGTCTGGTCAGGGTCGATCTCTCCGCTCTAATGCTAATTCTTGCTATCGTAGCTTGTGACCCCGGACTGACCATGATGTGAGATGTTGTGGTTGCAAATAAGGCTCCTTCTCTCGGATAACCATGAATTCAGACGAAACATATGCATTAACAAATACGAAGTCGCTTGTAAGGATTTTTGCACTCACTGTGGCGACGAATCGACCGTAAAGCTTATCGTATACATCTCCGTCACAAGTGTATGGGGCCAGACTGCTTCATTTGGTCAGCGATCAGCTTTCAACAAATGTAAGTTGAATGCTGGACGAGATAACAAAAAGCGAGTTACGCAGTACCGTGAAATTAATTCGGTGAGGGCTGCCTATACCTAAAGGAATTCTCAGTTTTAATAGTTCCTGCATGTTGCACTCCGTTGTTGCCAACCCTTGCGACTCTTCTAATCGCATTTTTGATTGCCTGCAAATGGTGCCCACTCAATGCCGAGCTGGGCGAGGAAAGCAATAGAAGCAGAGGGCGCCTACTTACTTTACTCAACGCGTCCGTTCTGCATTCGCTGCGAGATACCTACGCTAAAAAAAATTCCATCTGTCTAGAAAGTAAAATAGTTTTGTTACCAATCAGTTTTTAATAAGTAAACAAGCACATATTTGGTCCAAATACTGAAGTGAGACCCCATCTTTATACTAATATCTGTAAAAGTACTTTTTCGTACAAATTGACACGAGCAATCACAATGAGCCACTGGCCTTCAGAAAATATAGCAGATCCCAAATGTCGCTCGCACAAATCCTGTAGCGACCTAGGGGGGGTAGGTCGCACTTTTAATAAATCGCTCGCATTTTACAGAGACCGTTTTGGAGTCTATGCAAATTGCAACATCACAAAATCAAATGACGACGTCCAGCCAAATATAAATGGACAGCAGATCGCGCGCGGCGCTGACCGAAAATCCACTTAATCGTGTAGTTATTGAAAAACTCGTCTAGAAGAACCTCGAACGAAGCAGGTGGCAGCGACACCACCGCAACAAAGCTGCCATAAAGCCCTTCTTCGTAGATCTTCTACTACACCGAGTTTAGTGGACCATGTAAGCTTGATACGGTTAAATATTTTCTCTCCTTCAAGCTATGTACATCCAAGAAGGTGCAGCAACAAAACCTTCCTACAGCGGCACCTGATTTTGTCGCAAACGCCGTATTTACTGCCATCGGCGAGATTCAAGCTCCCGTGCTGGTAACAAATTTGTGTGATTTTCTTTTAGATATTTGAATCGCAAATCATCAAAAATGCTATCGCATTTCTGCACGCAAATGCCCTTTAAACTGTGCTTTTCGTCATTTTCTGAAGGCCCCCAATATTATACTTCGAAGTATTAATAGCAAACACTTTATTGACCGCAAACAGGATACATGTATACAGAACTGTCCTGTCCACGCCGTGTTACACAAAAGATTCTCGAAATTCACAATACATGTACCTAGTCTGACACAATGGTCAGTTTATTATGAGCGAACAAAACTTGACCTTTGTGTCAGATTATTGTAAATCGCGAGCAAAGTTGCGCTCGCACTCACTCACCTCAAATCGCTTGCAATAGGTGTCCATTCTTTGTAAAAACAAGTTTTTAATGGTGGTCGTGTCGTTTTCTTGTTGACTCTAAACTTCGTATTTTTCAAATCTTCACATGATAGCATTTTCTGGTCAGATTTCGTTTTACCCCATAAAAAGTGCAAAGATTGCGAGCATTTTACTCCGTACTTATAAGAAATGTACCAATATGGTATTTGTTAGACCCGTAAAGTACGGTACATGTATAAATACCGGTACAACTCGCCACAAGACCTCTTTGAATTGATTGCCAATGGCCAATAAGACAAGTCACAATTCGAGGTGCATGTTATCTTTTTTACTATTATCAAATAGTCGAGAACATGTGACCAGTACAGTAATACAGTAGTAGAGAATTAAAGCTCGTTTATCTGCCAGTCCGTCCGATGGTAGGGTTAATTAAACTCACGCTATTAATAATACGAGCATTCTGCTGCCGATCCCTGGTGATTTGGTGCATTGATCCTGACGTGGTCAATTTTGTAAAGTCGAAACTCAGTTCGGACTACTTTTTGTGACCAAATACTGATTCCACGCCGAAAATGATAGCTACCACCTGAGCTGGTAAGCCTCACGCGGTGCGAGCCGTACCAGACCATTGGCTCTTTGCTGGATCTAGTGTGACTAAATAAGCTCACCAGGACGCTCATCAGTGATGCCTTGTTGCGCTGGGCTAATTACAAACGCTCCAGATCAAAACTGGCCCGAGCGCAGCGAAGATTGGCTAAATTTGCATTATGTGGTGTACACATTATATGTGGTCCACACCTCGTACTTTAAAACACCGCTCAAATTTCATTTTTCATCGCCAGGCCACGCAAAGGGCGCCGCTTGGTTTGCATTGATTGACCTTGTTGACGTGTACACACGTATTATATGTTTTATGAGCTGGTAGTATAATTTGTAGGACCTGATGACGCACATTTCGTTTTAAATAGTTATTTTTGTACTTATTGCTGGCAAATATAATGTTTATGCTTCGTAGTACTTCTACAATAATTAAACTTACAATACTGATATGCTTAGTACTATTCTGAGTATATTTCATTTATTTACTTTCAGTTATTTGTAGTAGTAGTGCACGTAATCATTATATCAGCCATAGATAAAAATACAAAGTGCTATTATAAGTATGTAGAGCTAGAAACTATTAAAATATGACTGAAGTGGTCCCACAAACACCACTCTCCGGCGAGAAAAATATACGAATTATTTTGTATTTGCGCACGTAGTGTGCGCCCTTTGAACACGATACATTCTGCACATCAAACGCACTGGAAACAGGGTTTGTGATTGACAGAGGTTGGAAAAAATAATATCAGTAAAAACCTATTGCATGTTTGTACAAAATAATTTTTTATTGCTCCTTCTCCCTTCCAATACTTTATAAATACGTAACATATTCTGCAATACTTAATGGGTTACGAAATGTAGGTATAAATCAAACTAGGGCTAATGTATCTATTGCAATAATCGGCCAGAATCCCATATTATTTAGTGGTCCTGTATTTCAATGTGTATTACTGAGCTTGAAAAAGAGAATATAATAACATTTTTTTATTTTCCAGCCTCTGGTGATTGAACTCGCACGGAGGCACGTGATTAACACCTCTAGCCCGGTATTCTGTATTCTACAGAGTAAGCGTTTATGTAAGATGATTTATCCAGCAAACTTGGCTACCTGCTTCTTGATCGCATATAGATTTTTGTACATGTAAAATTAGTTGAACTTTCATAGTCGATAGTCGAGGGGTAGCTACACGGGATTTTTTACCCCGGTAATAGAAAGACGGCTATAAACTCCAAACAGGTTTGAAAATCCGAGCAAATGCCCTCACTGGTCGTGCGAGAGCTGCCTTCCTCTCCCTCATTTTGAAAAGGTGAGCGGCCCAGGAGAGAAGACAGCTATGGCGCGAGCTCTGCAAGGACGGGTGGAAGCCGCGCAAGTCGACTGGCATGACTAAGGACCACCGATATGTCAGACCTGGAGTCAAAGGGCGCCTGGATGAATCAAGACGTGGAATTGATTTTTTTATGAAGGTGAATACTGCGCTTTGATGCTGAGACTACACAGCTAACAGTGCTTTGTATTGGCAGGTGAGGCTGAGCTAATGGTATTTGCGCGCCGGTCTGGTTGGCTTGAATTGCCAGTACCACGAGTCGGCATCACTGTTCGGCTCCGATGGGCAAGCTAGCTGCGTATGCAGTGGCCGGGAGGCAAGTGCCATGCCCCGACGACTCGAAACCTACGACGTTAATTTCTGTGGGCTTGGGGCAGGAGCCCGCTTCGCCTTTGGTGACCGCCCCTGTGAGCCAGTCTCTCACCGCCCTGCCCTCAACCTGCTCGATAAGTCGTGAATTGGAGGATGCAGTTGCTGAAGTGGACCGAGCCGTCGATCCTGACGATATTCTAGAATCTACAGAACAAGCCTTAGGACCATGCATCACTATTTCGAAGTCTACATACCATACCGGTGTGGAAAGGTTAGCTAGTTTGAACGACGAAGAGACCAGCAGTGTGCATGGCGAAGCCGTCGAGACCGTGAGTATTGACGTCTTCGACAGCGGCCAATTTATGAATGGGCTGCGAGCGAAAAATCTATTCGATTCGATCCCTGATGACGACGTGAATCTGGTGGTTGCAGCGGACCTGAGCGACTCAGAGTCTGATGCCGACGACGATAATGTCATGGAAGACAACCAGTGCCCCCCCGGAGACGACGGAAGGTGTAGAAGCTTAGAGGAGTTTCATATAAATGAAATTGACAGCGGGTCATTTGACATGACGACCGATCAACTTCGCGCGATTGCTGAGTCTGGTTGGGTTGCCTAAGAGCACAGTGGGAAGTCTGTAATATACAGAATAACGTATATTTTACTGCTAATTCTGCATTATTAGTTTTTATTATGATATAGAAAATCTTAAACTGGATGCTGCCACAAATTATTTTGACGGACAATGGGGCCCCACACAATCACCGGTCGCATACGCAGATTCTCTGCTCGGCATGTTCTTTTACTTCCTTCCAAAACAGCTGTGGGTACGCCTCGCTAAAGAGACTAATCGCTACCGGGATCAGAACATACCTACGATTGCTCTGTCCCGACGCAGCACACTGCTAGACCGTCAGGCCAAGGATCCGCACGTCAGTGTCTAGAAACTGGAGGATGTTATTGCCGACCTCAACAAGTTCAAGAAGGTCGAGCCGCACGAGATTGTGCACGTGATTGATCTTCTTATTGCTAGATCTATAGCGCCTATCCGCGATAGCCTCGCTAACCATTGGAGTACTGAAGAAGACGGAGCGGTCCCTCGTGGAACGTTTTCGCGCTTCATGAAGCGAGATCGCTTCGAAGCAATCATGCAGTTCCCGCATTTCAACAACAACGAGGGTAGCGGAGCACACGAAGACAAAGCTTGGAAAATCTGACCAGTTATGCATGATGTGGAAAAAACCTTTTGGCGTGGATATCGGCTGGGTAGAGTTGTGTCTTTCGACGAAGGCATGATGCCCAATTACAGCAAGTACAACCCGATGCAAGTGTTCATGCCTGACAAGCCCAGCAAGTACGGAACAAAATTTTACATGACGTGCTGTGCAGAGACAGCATATTGCTTAAGGTATGCAAACACTGCTCTATTGGTTAACGTTTATATTCTGGATCCTACAGAACTACGGACTCATACTAATGGTATTCTGTATTTGATCTACTGCGGTGCTGAAAAACACAAGAGCAAGAAACAATCTCATGACACCTTGGTTTGGGCCCCCAATCTGTCATTCGGAACCTGTCAAAGGCGCTGGTTGGGCAGCCTGTGAAGCATTGAATTGGCACGGATAGTTTCTATTCGTCGGTGGCGCTCAGGCTGAGGCTCCTGAGTATGGGTCTGTATCATGTAGGCACAGCACGAGTTGACCGGCTGGGTTGGTGCCCGATGAAGGACTTGGACATTAGTGGCCGCGTGGGTGCGACAGACGTGGATCCGACCGTCTCAACCACCTGTAGATAGATTTGAGTATTACGGTTTACAAACACTCAAATAATACATATGCATTCGGCAATATATTTGATATCCGGGTCGTTGTGGTAGCCCGGGCCACCACCAACTGTTTCATAACCATTTAATCATCAGTTTGCTTTACGGGGTCTCATTTGTCATTTCTGATACGTTAGACCGCAGCCTGATGAGACGAGAATCCACGTACTGAGACATCATTCATATTGAAGGCAACGCCCAGCTTAGTGCATGGGATATCGCCCCGGGCTATTGTACGGTCCTGTCCACGCAAGAAACGCACACGATCGAGGAGGTTCTGGAGGACATCAAGATCAAGAAGAACAGCTCGCCTATGCTATCCGGGCAAGTCGGAGGTGCTGCACCTGGGAGATTCCAAGCATTTCTCATTCGCAACTGTTGGTAAGTGACGCGTGTTATTTGTATTTAACCAAACCAAAATTAAATGGTAATAAGGTCAGGTTTGTCATGGAAAACAAAGCCTATACATGTAAAGCAGTCGTAATTCGGTTTGGCTCACGATCTCATAAACTATTCAAAGATTAACCCCTTCCAACTGTATTTTATTTTCTTTCTTGCTCAAATGGGCTGTAAACTACAACTTGCAATGTGCAAAACAAAATGCCATTGACATGTGAATAGAGATAATCGGGTATTGAAGTCGCCACCATTTGATTCCAAACGATTTTGACGAATTTCAATCGTCTTCGAAGACAAGAAAAATGTCGAGCTAAACTGTGGTTTTTACAACTAACCGTTTAGAACATTTTGGTTCTTTTGTTATACAGACGGAATCCGCATTAGCTTGCCACAATTGCAGACTTGAATACTCAAGTCGATTATACTACCGTGGGAGGTGAGCGCATGATCTAATTGTAGATCTTCAGCTTCCATGTGTATGCATGTTTAAACGACATACAGGTATGTGGTACGTTGATTTTACTCAAGAATCGGACCCCTCACGTTGCTGTGATCGCATTGAATTTTACTTTCATGCATGATCCAGTCAATAGACTGAAGAGGGCCGGCGCACTCGAAGCAATTATGGAGGGTTTGAAACCAGTCTGCTACTTGGTTGGCGCTCACGCGCAAATATACAATGGAAAGCTTTTATTATTTTTACCGTGGTGGTGTGCGTAGTTCACATTCCGAAGCGGCGCCCACTGAGCTCCAAACCAAATCCATCGTACATGTTGTACGACTCTTCAAGGGGAATTTATGATACTTTGAAAGTAATGGCTAAGAAGCTCTTTGGGTTTTATGGGGAGCCCGATGTGCGTTTCGCTTGAGACAGAACCAAGAAATGTTGATGGTGTCAGCTGCGGTCAGGGCTGTGAAAATTAAAATGTTAGATTAATCTTGGCCTGAAAACATCAAGAATGAATTATTGAGCTAATTGCCAGAATTGCCAGAATTGCGGCGGATTGTAGCTCGAACTTCTTCTACAGTGTACACACTCCACAGTGAACGCTTGCAGTGCAGGAAGACTAGCGTCTCCAGAGTGACGCGATCCATACTCTTCCTCACGTCACTAAATATAAGCTTTGCACGTGAAAAAAGTATCTCGCACTCATTCGATGTAGGCGGTACGTACCCGACGTCGACATACGCACTCCGCTTCGTTGTCTTGAGCCTCTTGAGCACTTGAGCTGCAAATGACGGACCTTCAGGGCTCTCTTCAGCTTGATCTTCATCAGGGCTGCTGGTGACACGAAACGCCGCACAGGCAGCTCGCTCAGGCGGCGTGAGAGATTGACCTCGCTGGATCTTGACCAGACCGGATTCGAGTGCAGGATAATTGACGATTGCGGCGGTTGGGGACAGTCGGGGTTTCATTTCCGGGTATTGTTAGCTTCCTTCTCGGCTTTAAAACTACTGGTTGTCAAGGCTTGAGGTGAGTAGCACAGTAAAAAACAATATTTTTACTGTGTCTGCTACTGTAAAAATTGGGGAAACTTTTAAACTTAAATTTTGTACTACCAATTAATAATTAAATTAAAAAATCTCAATTAATTGTTTTAATAATTATATTATGAGCACCCCTGGCTGCGATTGCTGGTCATTGAGATCTCTCCGACGGGCGGTCGTTGTGGGGAGAAGACGCTGCCAAGGTGCTACAGACTTCGGTACACTCGCCATGCTCTGGCGTTGGTATCGACTAAAGAGTGAATATATCTACAGCAGTCTGGTTTGTACTGAAGTTGATACTGCTTGGTATTGTTTTTCATTGATTCATTTTAACCGCTGTAAATTCGCTAAGTTGCATAGCTGGAAATGTTTGACAATGAGTGTTTACAAGATGACGCGTCACTAAAACAAAGTATCTGGTAGTGAAAATTAAAAGTTTTCCTAGACGTTCGCCTGATACCCATACATCGACCAATGACCGGCTATCTATTATCGGAAGGCGGCACATTTTTGATACAGCGAAGTATTAATATTTACTATGTTAATAATGTTGCTTTAATAGTTGAGTGCTAAACAGAGCTACTTATTCTGAAACGGAATATCCCCTAAAGATGCTTCCAATGCTGCAAGGAGCTTACCGTACACGAAGGAATGCGTGCTTCCGAGGGCAACATATTAATATACGTAATACTCTGTACCTAATAGTTTCTGCAAGTGACAATGACTAAAAAATAACTACAACTATTTTGTTATAGATATATTAAAAACCTATCTGAGTGTGAGGTAATGATTACTATATATATTAACAATATAAAATTAAAAGTTAATAAAAATTTAACAGTATTACAAGCTTGTAATAATTTTAAAATAGAAATTCCTAAATTCTGTTTTCAGGAAAATTTACAAATTGCAGGAAATTGTAGAATGTGTTTAAGGTATCTGACTGAACTGCCATATCGTATTACATGTAAAACAGAAACTGGCCGTAAGAACTGGTCATAAGAACAACGCTGTGCTAATAAACGTTGTTACTTGAACCGTAAAGATAAATAGTTTTTGATACAAAAAATCAAATCAGATATGTTACTGCTGTAAGCCATTGCCTTTTAGAGACAGCAAAATCCGATACTACTTAACGGATGGACGAGTCGCCGACAAGAGCGTAGGATACGATTAAGTTGGAGCGGTAAAACAACACCACAATACAAGAGGTATACATATAGTTCGTTAAATAGACCCCGTTATGAAACGCTAATCAAATTCAAGCCTAAATGACGCTTAACCATCCTGGAATCATTGTTACACTATCGAATAAAAAACACCGCCGTCAACAATAACAGCAGCAAGGCGGCTTGCGACACATTATCCAAATGCTTAAATCATAACTGGCACAGAATCGAGTGTCTAAGGACGCATGCTGAATCAGCACAAAATGGACGCTAAACGCGTTTAAAATGTTACAATTTTTTAAATGGTTTAGCTTCCTTCGAGTTAGGTATGAGAAGTGATCAATTTTTAGCTACTTACAAGCTGAAGCGGACAGTGCAAGCGGGTAATTAGTACAAGCTAGAGATGCCATTACTATCTTTTGCGTTGATTTGAGCTCGGTTTCAAAGCGAATCAGAAACGGCCCGTGATATCGGACACGACGCTAAACTAAACATAAACAGCTGTGAGGTGTTTGTATAAATGTTATTTAAAGTGCAGGCGGCTTTAGGTAAAAAGGGTAAATGCAGTGATATCCAACAATAACGAAGAGATTGTATCAAGACAATTGGAATAAATATTTTTAATCCGGTAAGCATGATGCTGGTGACTCACTGGTAATCTAAATTTTACCTGGATTTATGAACTTTAAAACGGCGATTTAGGAACATAGGTTTAGTTTTTTAGAATAATTATCCCGCCGAAGCGTAGCGGAGGCGGAAAGGAAGAAATCAGAACTAAACCGAAAATACTGCCGCGTAGCGGCGGCGCTCGGCTAGTAAATAATAATGCTAGCTGTGTCAACTTCCCGGCGATCAAACAGCATCCTGTAACGTAAGGAAAACCTTGCTCGCGAATGGCTTCGATTTTCTGTCGCTGTTTTGGCTTCAACTCCATCAGCTGCTTCTAGGCGTCGTGGTTTGCGTGTATCTGCGCCGATCCCAGTCCCACTTAGGTTGGTGATGTACTTGTAGCGGTCGTAGTCTTGCATCAGCCTGATAACTTAGATTGGTTTGGCCGGTCGTGACATGCGCAGCGTATTCTGACCGGACGGCATTGCCGCGACACATCCCGATGCTTACACTACTTAAGTTACCTTTATCAAGTACGCGATGGTGCTTGGTTGCTCAGCGCAGTCACGATACTGCTCTATACCTTGCCCTTCTCTGTCGCTAAAGATCAGTTGTTACGTGCTGACAGGACCTTGACCAACAAGTCAAATTCCTCCGCTATATTCCACGATGTCCGAGCGGTCACAGAAGCCACTCTACTAGATCTGGTAAAAGATTTGTACAGCAA